TTTCAGAAATTAGAGATTATTCTTCGACCACTATTTTGACCCAAAAATCCAAATTTGAAGAAAATTGCCGACCCGAAGGTATACTGTAACCTTAATTATAAAGAGAAAAGAAATATAACAGTAAATAGCCAAAATGAAATATGCTCAGTGACCAAAGTAGCATAGGCTTTCGTGTTAGTCACTGACACGTACAAAGAATTGACGCGACATATCAATTATACTAATATCCAAAAAAAAAAAGGAAAGAATATGTATTTATATGAACAATAAACGCGTAAAGGAAAGTTTGCCCGCCTGCCTGCGCTGCCTGCCTGTCTGCCTGCCTGCCTGCCTGCCTTCATGCCTGACTGACTGAGTGACTGACTGAGTGACTGTCTGTCTCTGTCTTTTTAGTAATTTCTTAGCGCGGCTTCCTCGGAAACCAATTCTCTGTAATTGAAGAGATACCGTGTTGAAATAAATTGTCTGTCTTGTCTGTCTGTCTGTCTGTCTGTCTGTCTGTCTGTCTGTCTGTGTCTTTCTCTGTCTGTCTTTCTGTCTGTGTTCTTGATACACATCTCACTTGCATGTCTCTTTAGATTTCCCCTCTTTTCATCTCTGATATATCTATTTTTTTTTGTACTTGTCGAATTATTCCCGTTTTTCCCGTACCTGTTCTCTCATTATGGCATTTGTAAAACATCAGCCTTTATTGCATGACTGTAATCTTCATTTACGACAATATACTTACTTTGGGGAAATAATCCCAACACCTTTCCCGTCAGATTCGCAAGCTGTAAAATAGTTTTACCGTGAAAGTTCCTGGTTTCTCCTCAGGGAACAAGCCGACCCACACACTATCACGTTTTGTACGACGATAACGCCTTCACAGCAGACGGTCTTCAACAGCTCACTTATCAGCTGTGTCACGTATATGCACGGTGCGCTCGCAGTGTTTCCATACCAGCCCCTGCCTATTATGCACATTTGGTGGCGTTCCGAGCCAAACACCATGTGACCAATGAAGGGTAGGTCTTTTGTCAAATTCCCTTCGTACCTTTTCGTGGCCTAGTTTGTTTGTTTTGTAATTCCTCTCGTGTTTAACTTTTTAGGAGCGGTGATACTGTAGATTTGGAGAAGTCTACAAAAGCCATTCAAGTCAGCGACAGAATGAAAGGAGCGATGTATTTTACGTAAAGAATCAAGAGGATAATACTGTGTATATGAAGCTTGAAAACGGTGATGCATTCTGCTACATGTAGTTAGCATTCTCGGCGGGGAGGGGGGGAGCATATGGAAAGGAGCGGGTGCTCGACGTACCTTTTAGAGGTTGAAAACGCGGTTTGGGTTCCTCTTGGGGTGTTCGGCCTGAAAAGGTCCACAGTACCTTTTAGAGTATTGAGCCAAGAAAAAGACAGGAGATAACATGTTGTTTTAGAATTGGTACCTTTTAGGGGTGAACCTCTTATGGGTTCTTTTCAAATTTTACGACCAGCACTCCCGTCCTTTTTACTTGGAAGCCACCCCTCGGATTAACATTGCCCTGATGCGGTAACTGAAGTGAAGTTATAGTAGGATTTCAATTACGAACAAATTTTGTAGACATTGATATTTAACTTTAATGATAAATTTAGTAGTGAGACAGCAGCCTCTTCTTGTCAATAGCGGGTAAAATCCAATGCAAGATCGCAAACATGCGCAGTATTTTGTTTTCTTTTCATCCGGGGTATCTAAGGTCATCATTGTCTATCAGGTTGACGGGTACTAGCGATGGTTCAAGCGAAGGCGGCCATAGTTGCAGTTCAAGTTGCAGTTCGTATCGTTTCATTGTCGTTTTTTCTGCTCTGAATAATATCTAGGCAGCTTTCCGTCGAGAGTTGGTTGTAGTTTTCAAGACGATTTTACAATACCGGCCACCTAATAACATACTCCTTAACGCCTCTAAGAACGAAGCATGTAGAAACAAAATTAAGAAACCATTCTGATTCAATGAGATGCAAATGAGTGGCCCGGTATTCTACAATCATGCCATAACGGAGCTGCACTGTCCTCGAGAACTTATCTTACCGAATAAGTGCCTTGTTTACTTCATGTTATTTTGTTCAGGTGTTGCTGAGCGAGTTTCCTCGACGATAGAGGTGTTGCTTTGCTGACACAATCGACTAACGTATCCAGGCTTGGCTAGTATGTAGTGTGAATTGTACAGGAGTAGTATGCTTCAGCAAGCCCGCGTTAATTTTTAATACCCCTAAAGTGCTACTATGATCAAAAAATTCACTTCCCTTTTTCCTTCAGATTTTAAAAACGTGTTTGTTTGACACCTGACGGGCAAAATCTTGAGCTTCGAATTTTATCTAAAGGCTGTTTTCTTTGAGCGCAAGTTTAGGATTTCACGGTCCGCCATTTCACATTCAAGACTGGCCGATTGGACCTCAGAGGGTTGGATCAAGGTTAAGATGACGTCACTAGCTTAAAACTGCAGCGTGTAAACGCAGCTTATTGTACATGCAAAACACGAGTTTAAAAGTCTGAAAGTTCGAAACTCCCGTGCTGCTCATTAATTTAGGCGCGTACACACGCATTGCATTTTTGAACTAGTGAGTCTTTGACGTCATCTTATCCTCGATCCTGCTCTCTCAATATTTTAAAGTGTCTATACGGCCAACAGGGTTTTTGTAGTTTTAGTATCTCTATAATGTGTACAAAGGTATTCTAAGAAAAAAAAATTGGATTCCGACATTTTAACGCCCCAAAATCTAGCTTTAAAGTTCCCGCTTCAGCCACGCCCAATGAAGTTGACCGTGAGCCAGTGCAAAAAAAGAGTCTGGGTTTCTGAATGGGTCGTGACGTCAAGTCAGGAATTGCCAAATCCTGCTAGTTCAGGTCACTGTTGTTTCAGAAGTGGTTAGGAGTTTTCGTCGACAAAAAAAAAAACAAACAAACAAACCGAAGTTGGTGAAAAAAATGCAGTCGTCAAGCGAGCAAAATAAAAACATGAAGTTTTGAGATGTTCCTGAAGTGACGTCACTCGTCACCAATCTCTCATTACGCGGTCAACTTCATTGGGCGTGGCCGAAGCAGGAAATTTAAAGCTTGTTTTCATGGCAAAAAAAGCATCGGAATTAATTTTTTTTGGTTTGAATACATTTTTAGATGTCATAGAGATACCAAAACCACAACAACCTTGTAGGGCGTATGGGCGGACCATTAATTAGGAAAGTTTCAGTCAAAATAAACAGGTGTCTTTTTGAAATGAAGGTTTAAAACTTCGGCTCAGTTATAGGTTTGAAATACAAAGAAAAAGTAGAATTGATTTTTGGTCACAGTAGCACTTTAAATAAGTCAGTTCATTGTATTACATATACTTTGGTACTCAAACGAGTCTCATTGACTACTAGTGCAAAGTCAAATTAAGCTGTGATTGCAATCGAATTGTTGAACATACTGGAGCTGTTCGCTAGCTACATGAAAAGATCAATTTGCGAGTATGATCGGTTGTCACCGCAAAGCAAAGACTGACTAGGAAACTTTCGGTTTACTTCAGTCTCCAGGCTCAAATGTACATTAATTTTCTGTCCTTCTATTTAATCCATGCTAATTATTTGAGTTAATAACTCCGTTTCCAAGCAGGCCGGTGCCTACTCTCCAACGCCCTCCCACCAATGCGCGCACAGATGGAAACCATTTCCACATCTGTATTGTCAGTATTTCCTCTTCCTCAGATCACCTCAAGCCAGCACTTTCACATTGAAACTCCTAGTTATAAATGTAATATGTAAGTTTTTACAACGAATTTTTTTCATAGCTGAGGTTATTATACTTAGACTACCTAGGATATTGATGTAGAGATTTATAATTTAACAAGAAATAAAATGCAAACAGCGGCAACAGACGTAACACATGAACTACGCATGGTTTGGAACAACAATCTAAAATTTTCTTGACGTTTCGCATGCTACAGGACGCATCTTCAGAAGTGGCGGTTACAAAAAAACGAAAGATTTAAAACTTAAAAATACAAACCGAGGTACTAGTAACCAACTAAACAATAACGAAAACAAAAGGTGATAGCTAATAAAGTGACAGCTTTTCACTGCTAGCATTGTCATTAAGTGTTGGTTTTAAGTCTCGTATAAACAATGTTTCTTTTATTTTACAATGTAAATCACATTTTCCACTAGCTAAAACCTCGAAATGGCCCCATTTGATGTTATGGCCGGTGGAGATTGCGTGATCAGCAACAGCGGAAGCGTGACCCACTTGCGTAAGGGCTTTAAAATGCTCGACCTTTCTGTCATGCAGTCGTCGCTTTGTTTTGCCGATATAGAAAGCGTCACAATCCCTTGTTGCCGCTGTTTGCATTTTATTTCTTGTTAAATTGAAATGGCCATAACCATTTCTCGCCATTAAATATGTCTAAATGCGTAAATGACTTGATTTTGATATACATGTAGGGCTCCAGCCTTAAAACAAAAAGCAGATAAATAAGAATAAAAAGACGTTGACGTCTCTAGCATAAACAAAGTTGATTAGCTCCTAAAGAATTGCATGAAGCTTAATTGCTTATCAAGAATCATCATTTATGTACTACATGGTAAAATAAGAAACATATACAATAACATTTTTGATCAGGCGGAAAGACCTCCAAAACCCACCAGGCTTATAAGTTATTATAACGGGTAAGCCTGGGCCATCTCCGTCGTTAATAACTACTTATTAACGGAGAGTGAGGTATTTACGGTAAGATCTCAAACCATGCGGTATTGAGCGAGCGATAGCCAGGTCAATATGGCAAAAAAGATTGAACGTTCAAAGTTAACAAGTTGTTTAATATATGGCTTTTTGCTCAGTCTTTGCGGGCCCGTGATCGGCCCTTAGGCATTACGGGAGAATTATGCCCCACAGTTAGCCAATAAGAGCGCTTGTTAGATCGGCTTCAAACACAAGCCATGCAATAATATAAGCATAATTAGAAGATTTTACTACATGCGTTGTTTTGTCATGTTAGTCAAAGCAGTGTGTCTTTTGTTCCTACTTTTTTTTAACCGGGATTTCGTTAGCAGTTAGCATTTTGCTATAAAGTTACGTTTAGTGCTAGCTCTGGGTTGGTTGTAGTCATCTTTCACTTGGTCCAGGCAATACTAATCATGAATAATGCATTAATGCATTTTTAGCTTTATGATTGGTTTACTGAATCGGTTTTTAGCCATTGAATCTATGTTTGATCGTATATGGAATAATACAGTGCAGACAAAGCCTTCCTGGAAAGTACAAAGCCGCCAAGAAATACCGGAATTAATTCAACCGAACTAGCTAGAGCTTGAAAGAAACATTAAATCGGAAAGACTTCTGTTTGAGATTTTACGAGAACGCCAGCTTATTTCTTCTTGGTTTCCCTGTGTCTCGCCCGAGCGAGGAAAATCGATAGTGGTTCACCCACCCCCACCCCCGAAGACTTCTTTTTGCAGGGGCGATTTCGTAAAAAGACCTCCGCGCAAGGAAGGTAACAAAAGAGCGAGGGCAGCAAAGCGAAAAGACAGCGCTTTTCTAATTTTATCTACGAGTGCACCCTAAAAGATAGTTTGACGCAGGGGCGGATCTGGGGGAAGGATGCAGGGGGTGCGCACTCCTCCCTGGGAAGGAGCCGTATTCACTTTTGAAATCTATCTACCTCACGAGTCAGTTATGCTATTCTTTAGTGGTGCACCCTCTCCTAAGAGAAATTCTGGATCCGCCCCTGTGATGGCTAAAAATAGTGGCGTTACGTCCTGAGCACGCGAAGTCAGAAAATATCCTTGACTTACACCTCTAAGCGAGAGGACAAGCATCCCTCACATTTACAAAGAAGAGTCATCCAGGGTGGGAGGGAACACACACGGAATGTACGGGGCCTCCTGACGGGGACGAACAAGGATTGTGCAATGGAACTTGCCGTTTGCAAATAGGAAGAATGGGGGAAAGATGAAACAATTTAACCGGAAACGCACGGAAAATAACGTTATAGCGCAGGGAATCGTAGTGCAGAACTAACGGGAAGAGCAAGGGAAAGCAAGTTAATGCACAGTCTCCTCATTGATAATGTAACTTATTAATGCCGAATTCGAGAATTTATCTATCAAAAAATACCTCATGCAGATCCTCATGCAGATACACGTTTTTACGATAACTGCAGAAATTCTCGCGCGCTCATTGGCTGATTTTTATTGTCAATATGCGGACAGACACATTAATTTATTATATATTTAAGCGATGTGTCAACGAGCGAGAGCGGAAAATTTGAAAATTTGTTATCTAAAAAAAATTGATGTCAGTTTTTAATGCGTCTGTCCTGTTATTTACGATGAATTTCGTCACAACATTGTCGAAAGTAGTCTTTGACAAAGTTATGACGAAATTCATGATCAATAAGGCACGGGCGGGAAGGGGGGGGGAGCTCTAGCGAGGGGATACCAAAGAAAAGGTATCCCACAATACCTATCGATCGTCCAACTCGAGAGAGATCTCGCATGTGATGGATTCGACTTAATAGGATATTTGGCTGTGATGGTGATGGTTAACTTCTTGGTAAGTAAATGAGCTGTCTTATCTCATTTTATGGAGACTGTATTGACTTATGGAAATCATATTGTAATCTGGTTGCGTTTTCTCAATTATAATAATTACAGGACTTGAGAAGCCGCCATGTGCATGTTTTTTAGGTTGTCTTATCGTGCAAACTCTTCAGGGAACTAGTTGCAGGGACTCAGTAGTCGCAGGAACTAGTCCAGGGACTAGTTCCCTCGTGTGTGCTGACCTTTATGTTTTCTCTAATGTATTGTCCTAATAACCTCCTATAGGCATTCATTACTATTTAGCGACTCACGTCATAACCTTCCCATCGAAAACTTTAAAACCTTGCCCATTAGTAATTAACATGTAGAAAACCCCTTGTCAATTATCTAACAAAATAATGAATAATTTATTGATCAATTTTGATTAGCAGTAATGCTTTCAGGTTTTAGAAAAACCGTGTTTGAAACGCAACGAACAAATCCAGTTGCACACAAAGAGGTGAAGGTACCGGAATAATACAATACCGTATGTATTTTACAGTCCATCTTCTATGTATATCACTGCACCTTGTTCACTTGTGAAGCTTATGACTGTATTATTGCCATTCATGTCCTATGATTTTTTAACATTGCGTGGGTGACCCTGATTGCAGACTGTTACGTCTTAATAAGCTGCCCTCGACAGACTAAAGACACTGTCAGTAAAATAATTGTAAATAAATGTTGATCATAAAAGTTATTGATTTAGTTTTTTGCGGAGCTCCGGTGGCCTAAAGGGCCGCCAAGCGGAGCACCATAACTATAGGAACAGAACCACATGCATGCATAGAAATAGAAACCCATGAATTTCTTTTTTCATGGTCAACATGGCTAGTGGCATGGATTGCGGGGGCGTGCGCCTTACGACGACGACGATGTCGCCTAACATGATGGTCATACTCCAGCTATTGACAAAGTCATGCAGCCTTGGTTTACAGCGTATATGCATATCTTTGATATTGGACATCCATGTTGTGGTCAGTTGACAACAGTCAAAACAAGGTATCCTGACCAGTATCACGTGACCATAAGGCAGGCTCAGGTTTAAAGTTCATCAGGGTCACGTGATTTTTTAAAGTTGACTGCTGGCCAAGTAATGGTTTTCGATTGGATAGCGCGTTCATATCAGATTAACTTGTCGTAATCAGGACCAGGTTGTCCGGAAGCCGGTTAACGCTAACCCAGCATTAAAAGTTGACCGAAGTATAAATTTTTCTTGTATACAAATGTTTTTCACTGCCTTTGCTTTGCATAGTTTTAGATTCAAACCCAAAATAGAAGGCTAAACGATACATGTATAGAAAAACACCAAAGAGATAATGATCAACCATAAAGGAACAAGGATGGCTAAGGATGGAGAGGATTAACACGGATTAGAAACTACGAATTTGAAAAATTGAGGCAAAACTTTTCAATATGCGCAAACTGTGACTGAGCTCCTTTCATGTACATTGCTCATGAGAGTCGTTGAATTATTTCAAAATGATCGTTTGCATGGAACAATCTATGTAATGCATTAGCTTTAGAAAGATGAGGCAGAAAATCCCCAGAGAAACCTTCTCAATCTGAAAATAATGGGCAATAACATATCACAATCTCGCATTTCTAACTCTCCAGGATTACCAGAAGCAAATTAGGCAGATAATTTTTTTGGGGAAAAAAAAGCATTAGTGTACATACTAACATATACTAATTATGATGTCACTGTTCTTTCCGCAGACGTCTTAACTGATGAGGCGTAGTACATCATTGCAACTTGATAAAGGCTGTTTTCAACCATGGAAACAATCTAGCAGCAAGTGTCTGGTAGGTTCACTTTTTCTAATTATTAGATTTTCTTGCATGTACAATTTTTAAGTTAACACTACATGATTTTTTGCCCTGTCCACACTACACAGGAAAAATTTCAAAATGGCATTTTTGCCCTGAAAATGCATCAAATGTTATCTACAGGTCCACACTACACCAGAGAAATGTGAAAAGGCAACTTGGAATCATTTGTGAAAGAAATGCTTGAATACACCCTTAAGGGGTAGGGTTAAATTTTCACCATCATCATCTAGTCATCATTTTCTAAAAGCTCTGTTTTCTGTCCACACTAAAATGAAAAGCTGACTGTTTTCAAATTCCTCCAGTTTGTAGAGCATTTTGCAAAACTCTGTTTTTTGACAATTTCTCTGGATTAGTGTGGATAATAGGCCTAACCTTTTCAAATTTCTCTGGCATTGTGTAGGCAGGGCCTAAAAATGTAAAAGTTTTAACCGCAAAGAGCATTCAAATGCAACAAGTGATCATGGCAACAACAATCATGTGATCAGTATTTTGAAAATGGCAGAATAACATCAACAGCCATCATAAATGTTCAAGATTATGATATCAGGAAATTACATTAATTGATTGAAACTTGGCTAATACTGCAAATTTGCTGGAGAAAGCAGAGAAAAGATACTTCCAAAGGTAGAATGAATAATGGCCTGGTATAGCTATTTAACAAGAATGAGGAAAAATGGCCATACATGTAGCTACATTAAAGAAAAGTTGACCAATTGAACATTTGTCACATTCAGCATATTCCCAGTAGAAGAATGCACAGCTCCCAAAAGCTCTTATTTTAGCTTCCAGGCTTAAACAGCTTTTCAACGTTCTGGAAAAACATCATTTAATGGAGTGGCATCCACCCTAGACTCCTGCACAGACTTAATTTGTCTTAACACACACTCCTCCCCAACTGTAGAGCCGCGGTGAATAATAACTCTTAATATTCTCGAATCAACCGTTACATCTTGGTTTCCACACACACTGCACATACATTACGCCTGCTTATAAAAAAAAAAAGTGAAAACAATTACTATTACGTGATTGGTTCCTGATACATTCTACGCATGAAGAATTAGTCATGACACTACACCAACAAACATCGGCTGAAATTAATGGAAGATCTCATTCCTTTTGTTTGTTAAAATGATTGCATGGATATTACCATCATAGAGATTAGTACAACCTCATATTGTATGAAAATGCCAGTCATAACTGCAACAGTCCATTACCATGGTAACCACTGAAAATTCATAACATGGAAGACTTAATCCTGTAATTCCCAAGGGTGATCAAACTTTAATTTCGCCCTACATTATCAGCACATTATCAAGCAAACAGATGATAAGAATAAAGGAAATCATCAGCTAAGTGATATTGTCTTGATGTGCCACTAAATTCTCAGAACAGACATTCAAAGAACTGTCTGGCTGTCAGTAAGAAGATTTAACATTTTGGACTTAGGACTGAAAGAGTTAAAAAGTAAAATAAAGCATTCAGCGCAGTATAAATTCATGTGCCGTCTTGATTTCCTTTATATAATTAACAACTATGATTCAAAACATGCAATATTGTGATAATCCAACTATGTCATAACAGACACAAAACAGTTGATGTAGACCAGTGTAAAGCTACTGAGCTTCAGAGTTGTTGTAAAAATCAAACTGGTTGCAGGAGTGTACATATGTACTTTGAATGATTCAAAAGTACTTTGTATCAAGAAGAAAGGCATAAAATTGCTGAAAAGTAAAAAAAAAATTATTGAAAATGATCACCTTTAAAGTTTTAAAACTATACATATTAATAAGATATTAGTAGGAAATTATTAGCAATTGAACTGCCTCTCGCTTCAAAATTTGTTCCTGTTTGAGGTGAAAATAAATTCAAACTACACCTATAGACAAATTGTAGTTCCCCCATGGAGGCCATATTTGTTTTGAAGTTTTTGTCTTTTAAGTACTGCTTTCTCGTTACTATCTAGTTAGTTATTTTTTCATGTTCTTGAATGCACTTTTCTGAAATAAATAAGCCGAATAGAAGGAAAATTCTTAGCGTACGGAAAATTGAAATTTTAAGTAATTCTAAAAATTATTGGTAGAAAACAAAGGACAATGAGTTTCTTTTTAATTGAGAAGGAAATAAGAGTACATATAAACACACCAAAAAATACTACGTTTTACTTTGACTGAGAATGTCTAAATTTCTAGTTTTTCTCCACATGGAAATTTTACATTTAAAGTCCAACTTACTCACTGATGAATAGGTTGACCTCTTTGTGTTGCTTTGTACTACAGGCCTCAATTAGATTTACACAAAAACTAACTTTTTTAAGGAACGTTATACTTTTCCTTCTTCTTTACACCAAGACGATTTTTAATTAGCCTTAATGTTTTACAAACATGCCTAAAGTCCGCTAGCCGTCAGTAGGAACTTCGCTTACTTTTGACTGTTTTGCTGCGTTACCTCGGTCGTCGCGCTACATTACTTTGGTCGTCTCGACTAACGCTATCCTCCATCACAACGTTTCCCTTTTAACAAAAGTTGATATTCTTTTGGGAGATTGCATTTACTGTATTGATTATCGTTATTCTTTATTTTGATACAGGCTGCTGGATGCAAGTGATGCTTAACACGTTTCTGCCCGAAGTCAGGATTGACTGGGAGACAGGACTTACACCCGTTTGAACCACGAGAAAGTCATTCATCGAAGATTTAGTTAGAGGTAGAATACAGAACTTAATAAGACGTTGCTTGAAGATTATTTTTAAAAAATCGGAGCTAGAAATTTCTGTTCTGTTCAAAAGGTCAATTAATTTCATAAGTCAATCAGCATCTTTTTTACCATCTTGAGTCGTCTGGGAAGCGACAAATTTTCGAGCAGTATTTATAAAACGAAGACGGCAAGACTGATCCGTGCGGTAGTGAGAGAAGGGTGCAAAAGGTTAAAGCAAGAAGATATGGACTAGTGCAAAGTAGAAGCTATAATTTTGTAACAAAGGTTTGCCAAGTTTCTACCAACTTGAGTACTTGAGTAATAGTTTGTACTTTGTACCAGTCCAACTTTTTGCTTTCATTTTTTTCGTCTTCCTTTTCACTGCGGTACGGATCATTATTGTCGTATAGGGCTAGAAATATCTTTTCTGCCATGATGACTTGTCTGAGAGTTCAAAATTTCACAAAACATTTATTTTCAAATCACTTTTGAATTTATCTGTGATATCAAGAAATTTCCAGGCCAGTGTTATGTCAATTTTTTTACTGAAAGTTGTTTCCTTGTTAACATCGGTTTGACCGTGTTACATTTTCCCGCGAAAAGACTTACGAGCGCTTCAAATACGCATGCATCAATTTTTAAAAAAAAAACATATCAGAGTTCCTTCTCTCTTCATGCACTCCTTTCGAAAATTTTAAAATTTTCCCGCCAAAAAACTTAGAAAAATACGGGCGCTCAAAATACGCATGCGCCGTTTTATATTTTAAATTTTTCCAGTTAGCAGTCTACAAAATTGTCAACAATAAAATTTATTTCTCATGTGTTGTGTCTGCTCTACTTGATATTGTTTACATTGTAATTATTACTGGTCAGTTAAAATGATATATAAGAAGTCATTAAACAGTTTTATTATCAATAATAAAATATTTCAATAAACACAGACAATTGTGTAGCGTAAAAATCACTTTTGTTTGCCTCAAGTGCTCTCTAATTATAAGTTAATTAGTTAATGGAAATCGATTAAATTATAAAAAGGTGGCAAGGAAAAAATGTTCCCTTATATGCCAAGACTTTTGGCGGGAAAATTTGCAAAAATTTGCACAGCGTTTTCCCTGACAACATTCTGGACAAAAAATTCAGAATGGCTACCCTTATAATTTTCCCGCCAAAAATCATTTGAACATCACCTCGTGCAAAAAAATTAAAGTAAAACGCCCATTTGTTCCTTACTCGTGAAAATAAAATCCGAAAAAGATCTTTTAACCTCGCTGCTTTTTTTTAAATCAAATTTTGAACCAAGCAATTCTTTTCCCGAACATTTTGCTTTTTGAAATTCTTTTGCATGAGATACTGTCTCGGATAAAAACCTTTTTCAACGATTCTCGTTTGTACCACAGGAAAATTGAATAAAAAACTTTACCCGTCCTAAACAATCTCTAACAACAGTTATGAAGTTTTGGGAAGTACAGACAATTTCAATTGTTGTTTTAGCCACAATCGACATTGGTTTACGATCCTGAATAAAGAACTAAGAAATTTACCTGACGAAAACTATCTTTAACAACGGTTAATGAAGCTTTGGAGTAGTACAAACAATTTGAACTGTTGTTTTAGCCACAAGAGCTCAGAAATACATTTGCTCGTGATCTTGAAAAAAAAAATTTTAAGAAATTTACGTGGCCTTAACAGTGTGCAACAACAGTTATGAAGTTTTGGAGAAGTACAGACAATCTTGAATAAAATGTTTTTAAAAGACATTTATCCGTGCTAAATTTGTAGCAACAGTTATGAAGTTGTGGAGTAGTACAAACAATTTAAACTGTTGTCTTAGCCACAAGAGCTCGGACAAATACGACATTTGTTTGTGATCTTACTCTTAGCTGATTTCAGGTTTGTTTGAATTTCGACTAGAGCCTCGGCAATTCATAAATCAGCTCAATGTAATTTAAAATCGCATTTGTTTTGATTCATATCAACGCTATGTCCTGTGGTACAACGAGTTCCGGCAGTAAAAGATTTTCATCCGCTTAATTAAAATTATTTTTCAAAACCCAACTTATCATAAAACCCAAGTGCCTGGTCAAAGTAAGTAAAGCAAGTTTGATTCCACCCTTACAAAACTCAAACTTTTCATCAAAATTAATAAAGTGAAATAAAGGTTATACGGACCACAACAAACACAACGAAATGAAGGCGAAACAAAGCATAACTATGAAAACGATTGAAATTAATAATGAAGATAATCAAGGCAATTGTGAAGCCAAATTAATCATTACAGGTTTTTATTTTCAATTTATCGTTTTGTTGGCATAGAATAACAAAGCCGGGAATACCAAAAAACAGCAAGACTTGATTTGCAAGCGAAATTGAAACGGAACTTTTTTAAAAAAACACAAAACCAGATCGAAATAATTTCTAAGTTCTTTATATTCGTTATATATAGCACAAGAAAGCAATAATAATTTAAAATTATGAAAATAATCAAGACAATTGTGAAGTCGAACAAATCATTACAGCTTTCAACGTTGTCGTTTTGTTGACAAAGAACAGATGGGGGAAAATAATCAAAACAAGCTTTCCGTAAGAATGTTGATTTGCAAACGAAATAAAACAAAAATTTTAAAAATTTCTAAATTTGGCTACATGTGTAGCACGATGAAAGTGTCGTAATTTAAGATCATGAAGATAAACTCGATAATTGTGAAGTAGTAATTTGAAGTATTATTCCTTATTTGTAAATAATTTTAATATTTTTTTGTTGTTGTTGTGTCCCCAATTAGTTGTGAAAACTAAATACATTGGCACAGTAATAAAGCTTTTACTTACTTTTACTTATTTAGCCTTTTTGCCTTCGACCGGATTTGAAAAGCGAACGAGCGAGTTTCGTTTAATAATTTTTGACCTGTACAGTTAGAAAACTGAAAATCGTAACTAAATTTGGACATGAAAGCAGACAATTATACAGCTGACTTAATAATTGCAGGTTGTTTCTGCTTTCAAAAATCTTAAAATAATTAAAGTTATCGTCACAAACATTATTTCAGTTTGTGTGAATACTTTGCTTTGTTTGTGCGATTTTGTGGTCGGTATAACTCGAAACTGAAAATACGGACGCAATCTAGACGAGCCAAGCATTCAGGGTTTTATAACAAGCACCCATCGTGTGACAAGAGAATACAGGTATCTATGAACAGCACGTGCGTTNATGGCATTTTTGCCCTGAAAATGCATCAAATGTTATCTACAGGTCCACACTACACCAGAGAAATGTGAAAAGGCAACTTGGAATCATTTGTGAAAGAAATGCTTGAATACACCCTTAAGGGGTAGGGTTAAATTTTCACCATCATCATCTAGTCATCATTTTCTAAAAGCTCTGTTTTCTGTCCACACTAAAATGAAAAGCTGACTGTTTTCAAATTCCTCCAGTTTGTAGAGCATTTTGCAAAACTCTGTTTTTTGACAATTTCTCTGGATTAGTGTGGATAATAGGCCTAACCTTTTCAAATTTCTCTGGCATTGTGTAGGCAGGGCCTAAAAATGTAAAAGTTTTAACCGCAAAGAGCATTCAAATGCAACAAGTGATCATGGCAACAACAATCATGTGATCAGTATTTTGAAAATGGCAGAATAACATCAACAGCCATCATAAATGTTCAAGATTATGATATCAGGAAATTACATTAATTGATTGAAACTTGGCTAATACTGCAAATTTGCTGGAGAAAGCAGAGAAAAGATACTTCCAAAGGTAGAATGAATAATGGCCTGGTATAGCTATTTAACAAGAATGAGGAAAAATGGCCATACATGTAGCTACATTAAAGAAAAGTTGACCAATTGAACATTTGTCACATTCAGCATATTCCCAGTAGAAGAATGCACAGCTCCCAAAAGCTCTTATTTTAGCTTCCAGGCTTAAACAGCTTTTCAACGTTCTGGAAAAACATCATTTAATGGAGTGGCATCCACCCTAGACTCCTGCACAGACTTAATTTGTCTTAACACACACTCCTCCCCAACTGTAGAGCCGCGGTGAATAATAACTCTTAATATTCTCGAATCAACCGTTACATCTTGGTTTCCACACACACTGCACATACATTACGCCTGCTTATAAAAAAAAAAAGTGAAAACAATTACTATTACGTGATTGGTTCCTGATACATTCTACGCATGAAGAATTAGTCATGACACTACACCAACAAACATCGGCTGAAATTAATGGAAGATCTCATTCCTTTTGTTTGTTAAAATGATTGCATGGATATTACCATCATAGAGATTAGTACAACCTCATATTGTATGAAAATGCCAGTCATAACTGCAACAGTCCATTACCATGGTAACCACTGAAAATTCATAACATGGAAGACTTAATCCTGTAATTCCCAAGGGTGATCAAACTTTAATTTCGCCCTACATTATCAGCACATTATCAAGCAAACAGATGATAAGAATAAAGGAAATCATCAGCTAAGTGATATTGTCTTGATGTGCCACTAAATTCTCAGAACAGACATTCAAAGAACTGTCTGGCTGTCAGTAAGAAGATTTAACATTTTGGACTTAGGACTGAAAGAGTTAAAAAGTAAAATAAAGCATTCAGCGCAGTATAAATTCATGTGCCGTCTTGATTTCCTTTATATAATTAACAACTATGATTCAAAACATGCAATATTGTGATAATCCAACTATGTCATAACAGACACAAAACAGTTGATGTAGACCAGTGTAAAGCTACTGAGCTTCAGAGTTGTTGTAAAAATCAAACTGGTTGCAGGAGTGTACATATGTACTTTGAATGATTCAAAAGTACTTTGTATCAAGAAGAAAGGCATAAAATTGCTGAAAAGTAAAAAAAAAATTATTGAAAATGATCACCTTTAAAGTTTTAAAACTATACATATTAATAAGATATTAGTAGGAAATTATTAGCAATTGAACTGCCTCTCGCTTCAAAATTTGTTCCTGTTTGAGGTGAAAATAAATTCAAACTACACCTATAGACAAATTGTAGTTCCCCCATGGAGGCCATATTTGTTTTGAAGTTTTTGTCTTTTAAGTACTGCTTTCTCGTTACTATCTAGTTAGTTATTTTTTCATGTTCTTGAATGCACTTTTCTGAAATAAATAAGCCGAATAGAAGGAAAATTCTTAGCGTACGGAAAATTGAAATTTTAAGTAATTCTAAAAATTATTGGTAGAAAACAAAGGACAATGAGTTTCTTTTTAATTGAGAAGGAAATAAGAGTACATATAAACACACCAAAAAATACTACGTTTTACTTTGACTGAGAATGTCTAAATTTCTAGTTTTTCTCCACATGGAAATTTTACATTTAAAGTCCAACTTACTCACTGATGAATAGGTTGACCTCTTTGTGTTGCTTTGTACTACAGGCCTCAATTAGATTTACACAAAAACTAACTTTTTTAAGGAACGTTATACTTTTCCTTCTTCTTTACACCAAGACGATTTTTAATTAGCCTTAATGTTTTACAAACATGCCTAAAGTCCGCTAGCCGTCAGTAGGAACTTCGCTTACTTTTGACTGTTTTGCTGCGTTACCTCGGTCGTCGCGCTACATTACTTTGGTCGTCTCGACTAACGCTATCCTCCATCACAACGTTTCCCTTTTAACAAAAGTTGATATTCTTTTGGGAGATTGCATTTACTGTATTGATTATCGTTATTCTTTATTTTGATACAGGCTGCTGGATGCAAGTGATGCTTAACACGTTTCTGCCCGAAGTCAGGATTGACTGGGAGACAGGACTTACACCCGTTTGAACCACGAGAAAGTCATTCATCGAAGAT